TAATGAGCTCAGGGGTTGCGCACACAGGCAGAGGGCTGGTTGAGAGACAGACTGCTGTTCCACATGGGAAATGGTTCTGCCTTGGTCAAGACCTTGTTGCCAGAACACACTGATGCATTTAGATCAGTCAGAGTCTGCCATTGGCCTGTAGCACTCAGGAACTTTGCCTTTGCTTTGTGTCAGTGGCATTAAGACTGTACAGCCTGTCTGTCAAACCAACCTGCTGTTCATGAGACCTCCAATTTACTCCTTGGAGACCACTGGCAGCCTTAGCCTTTCTCTTTCCCATTGGAAGGTCTTGCCATGCGCATAATCTCAGGTTGCAGATGAACTGGTCTGGAGTTTTCTGCAAAGACATGTTCTTAATGAGACTGTGAGGCTGGGCTCAAAAGTTTCGGCTGAGTTTAGTTGACTGACCTATCCCGACTTCTTCCCAAGCCTTCCTGGATTCAGAGAGGAAAGCTTCTTTCCTTGCTTTGTTTCAAAGTGTTATTTTGTTGCCTGATCAACTTATATTTGCAGTTGAATCCAAGTCATCCAGAAGGAACCCCTGCATCAAAGAAAGGCCAGCTTTGCTTTCCTCAGCCATAACTGCAGCCATTGAGTATTCCCATGACCGAGAATCACAGAGTCCTTAGGAATTGCCTTGTGCCTTGGAGAGCCAAGGGGGCAAAAGGCAGGTGTGGTGGCCCCGTGCAGAGCCATTAGGCCCCGTGCAGAGCCATTAGGACAGGCTGATGTTGTTGCAGGGAGCTTTGCACTGAGCCTGAGTGGAGATGGAGCAAGGCAAGTAGCTGAGCCTCACTCGTACCACTGGTTTCTGCACACTGAGGTTTTCCAGCTGCCTTCATAGGGTTCTTGGCCCTCCAAAAGGGCAGCGATGGGGGAAGCAGCTCTTGCCTGCACTGTGTGCACAACAAGACAACTGCAGAGTGCGCAGGTGTCACCTGTGACCTCAGTCCAGGAGGTGAACTTTAACATCTTCACTGTGCTGTGCGTTGCAGACACAGCAGAAGGAGACACTCCAGACGCCCTCAGAGGACCAGCAGTCTACAGTCCTTCTAGATACAGCTACCAGGTATTTTTTTCCTTGCACATTCTGAAATAAAACTTTAAACAACTTTAGGGGGAAATGGGGTTTGTTGGAGTTCTCTCTGGTCTTGCTACACTAAGTAACTGCGTGGTGAGGAGGTGGACAATGAGGAAGCTGGTCTGGGCTTAACGTGCCTTTTCTTTTTCCTACTGATTTGTGCAGCTCTTGCAGTCTGACAGTCCCCAGGCAGAATCACAGACCCTTCTCCAGCAAAGCTCTTCCCCCTACAGAGGACACCTCACCCCGTCTCCTGGGTACAGCTATCGAGCACAGAGGACAGGACACAGCCTCTCTCACGGCTCCTCAGAAACATCCCTCTCCTCCACGTCCTACTCCAGCCCTGCCCACTCGCTCTCCACAGACTCTGCCCTCTTTGCAGGGAGCCTGGGCTACTACAGCAGCCAGCAGCACTCGGGCAGTGCCAGCAGCAGCCTCCTCAAGAAGAGCTGCCCGGCCGCTGCCAGCCCAGCCCAGCAAACGCCTGCGGACTCCGTCTCCTCCGAGGCTGCTTCCCAGCCCTGCACGGGAGCCTCGGGCTCCGCCGCTGCTCCCCAGGGCGCTCGGGCGCTGCAGTCAGACTTGCGGACGATGGCTCTGCCGAGCTCGGGGCAGGCTGCTCCCTACCAGGGCTCGCGGGGGGCCGTCATCTCCAGTGCACAACACTACCAGCACCGCGGCGCGAGCGGCGTCCACCAGTACAGGCTCCAGCAGCTTCAAGGCTCGGGCGTAAAGACTCAGACAGGACTTTCCTAGGGCTGCCTGGGCTCGCGGAGGACAAAACTGCCCGTAGCTCCTTCTAGTGACCCCTGGAAGCGGCTCCCGGGCCGGCGCTGGGAGCCCGCGCCCGACGCCGCCCGCGGTGCCGGGGCTGAGGCCTGAGGCGCGCGGTGGGGTTTGTGAGCAGCGTTGGCCTCTGGCCTCGCAGGAGAAAGCAGATTTCTCCGAGGCAGAGACTGTAGCAAAGCTGTTCCCTGGCGCGTGGGTACATTGCAAAAAAAAGCAAGTGGTTCAAGTGCAATGACTGTGGTGCAGCCTCTGTCTCTGGTCCGTGCCCACGGCCATAGTCACTCATGCAGTACGGACATCTTTTTAATATGAAAGCAGTTTAAAGAAAACATTGGGGAAGTTTTAACTCCAATCCCAAAGCTCTCTTTGTAGGTCAGGTTCTCGGTGCGTTCTGGGGAGGGCTTTAATCCGTTACGATCATTCCAGTCCCAAGCAGACGAGCGCGCGCGGCCGCCGCAACCGCCGTGCTCGGGGCCGTGCCCGGGACACCGGAGCCTCCGCACACGGGAAGGGGCCCGGGGAGCCGGAGCGGGCGGCCGGAGCGCCGGGATGGGGCCGGCCGGGCGCCGCGGAGGGACGCGGGAGCAGCGGGGCACGGGCTGCGGTGCCGCGGCGGGGAGCCCTTCCCGCCCGCGGGGCGCGCGCTGCTCAATTCCATACGATTGCCAGCTTCTTTCTCACTTGTTTACTGTAATATCGGGCGTGTTTTTATTTATCTAATTTTATATTCAGTTATAACCATAGTAGGTTAGCTAATATACGACAGGTGTCATCCCTGGTGCTGCAGTGGAACTTCTCCTTTCTCTTGGATAACATAATGCTGTGAGTCTGTCTCCCCTGTCTTTCAGATGCACAGTCTTCTTCCTTTTTTTTTAGGACTGTTACAGGTTTCTCTAATTCACAATTGAAATCAGGTGTTTGTTCAACCTGGGGGAGACTTTTAAAATATTGAAACAAAGAGTAACTTCCTCACCCTGTCTGGCTGTGAGCGTGTTGGGACGGGACTTGTCACCCGCAGCCGGGTGTCTGTATACTGTATAAAAGAGGTGTAAACTCCGCTCCGCTGCGCCCCGGCCGCGCGGCCTCCCCAGCCCGCCCCGAGCAGCGCGGGGCAGGCGGGCGCTGCCCCCGGGGGGCTCCGGGGGGCTCCGGGCTGCCGGGGGGCCCCGCAAAGCTCTTGGAAAGGGGGGGGCCGCAGCTTCTTACTCTAGTGGAGTTTTTACACCGTGCTGTAACATTTGAACTTTCACAAGAGATGTAATAATTTTGATAATAAAAATACTTAACTTGAAAACCAGAATTTGGGAAAGTCTCTGTTTTCTTACTGCTTCCAATGCCGTGGCTGGGGCAGGTGCCGCAGTTTCCCCCGTTTCCAGGCTGTTTCCTGGATGTGGGGGCAGCGCTTTTGACCGGCCCACGTGTGGTTTTCCGGGCGCTCGTGCTGCTGCTTGTGGCTTCAGTGCTGCCTGGTTTCCCTCGGAGGGCCCTGCTGGACCCAGACCTAGAGCCCGGGAGCGCCCGTGGCGCCGGGGCCGGCGGCCCATGGGTGCTGCTGCCATCTGGGCGCTGCAGCCCACACTGAGGCAGCGCCCTGCAAGGAGCCCTGCTCCCAGCGCTGCAGCCTCGTCCCCCGTGGGCCAGGGTTCCCCTGCAATCCCAAGGGAGTCCCCGGGCACGTCTGGATCCGCGGTCCCAGCCGGGTGGTGCCGCCGCAGCCGTGGGCTTCCCGGAATGGCCTGTCCTGGGCAGAGCTGCTGTCTCCCCGAGGAAGCCGCCAGGGCCGCCGCACAGCCCAGCTGCACCGCGTGCCTGTCCCAGCGGGGAGAGCAGCCCGTCCCTGGGGCGGCGGCGGACACGGGGCTGCTGCTCCAGCGGGACACAGGGCTCCTTCCCCAGGGTTTTACCCAGCCTGAGGTGAGAGTTTTCCCCGTTCCCTATGGGGCATTTCCCCTGTGCCAGCCTGGCTGTTCCTCTTGTCCCATCCCGTTGTTGGCCAGAAGAGGCCGGCTCCATCCCTGCCCCATCCCAGCGCCGGCCTCAGCCGCCCCTCCCGGCTCGCGGTCCGCCTGTTTGCGGCCAGCCCCCACACCCCGCGCGGCCGCCCCGAGTCGCAGCCACAGCCCCGGCTCCGAGCTCATCTGGTTCGAATTATATTTTTCAATAAGGTTTTGTGAAACACTGTATCAAACTTTGTACTAAAATACAGATATATTACAGCTACTGTATTCCTTTCTCCACTGATTTTGTTCCGGTGCGGTTTGTTTTCCAATGGGATCGGTAACGGCGGCGGGGCCAGGCCCGCGGGGCCGCTCCGGGCGCAGCGGGGCCGGGATAATGGGCGCCAGCCCCATGGCAGGTGTGTGGGAGCCCCCGGAGCCGGGCGGTCCCGGGCCGCCTTTGGGGCCGGCTCCGTCTCCCCGCGCCGTCCCGCCGGGCGCAGCGGCTGCGCGGGCTGGGTCACGGCTCCTGCGTAGCCCTTCATCGCCTTTCCCAGCGGCGGCTCCTCGTCCCACTCGGCTCCGTGGGCCTTATTGCAGCGCCCGGTGCGGCCGGCAGAGCCGCGGCCCCGCGCGCTGGAGGC